TATATATATATATATATATATATATATATATATATATATATATATTTATTTTTTTTATTTTTATTTTATTTTTTTTTTTTTACTTTATTTTTAATGGGTGCTGAGTTGAATAGGCTAAAATTGCCACTGCAAAATGATTTACTTTTAATTCATAACTTTTCACAATTTTTTTTTATGGATTACATAGCACTAGTATTAGCTGTTTTAGGTCATTTTTAAAGTTTGACTGTGATGTTTTTTATGTAAATACTGTATATTGGCATTAAATTGTTCCTGTAAAAACAATATTTATTACCTGTTTGCCAAGTTTGGCTTGTTGCCCTGAACTACTGTTGTGCCAGTTTAATCACCACAGGCCGCTCTTTTTAACAGCAAGTAAACCTGCGGTGTTGAACTTCGTACAGTGATGAATCATAAACCTCATTTAGTTTATCATGTTGTGCATCCACATTTATAAACATAAACACCCCCAGAATGCTAAATGTGGTCATTCACTGTAACGACTGGAGTAGAAGCTGCCAACGAGGCTCCGCTGCACGACTCAGAGGCTGAATCAAGGTCAGCAAACAGACATTACTTACAAAGGTTCAGTACGCAGGGAGCCTTTCAGTGCATGAGGTAAACAGAATCTGACAAGGAGACCAGGATGCCAGTCACTGAGTACAAATGTAAACTGGCACTGTGAAAAGGAAACGCACACAAAAAGATTTGTAACATACTGCAAATATATGTGCTAATGAGTGCAGGGAAACACTATAAAATCAACTTTCCTCTTTAAAATGAAGCTTTTAAAGCATTTTTTTCTCTATTTACTTGCAAGATATGCAATACTTTTCTGACTAATCAATGGAATGAACAAAAACTATTTGCTCATATTGTAGTCACCTGCTGCCATTTTCATTGTTTCTGTGGCTTCTGCAGCACTTGACATCATATGCCCCTTTTCCATTAATACCTTTAGTACTGGTACAGCACGGTTCAGCTCGTCACGGTACAGTTGTTTCCATTATACTTTCACTACTTTTCGCTACCGGTTCTAGTGGGCGGGTTCAGAGTTCAAAAATTTACATCAAACGCCTTACCAGCTGGTGGTGGTAATACTGGCGGTAAGACCCTGAAACAGGTTTCAGTAAAGGGTGAGAATTTTATTTTGACGTTTCTGCTGCACTAAAAAAAATACAACAAAGTCCATGCTCAAAGAATAAAAAGAATACAGATTATTAAAATGATCAAATAAAACTATACACACACACACACATATATATATATATATATATATATGTGTGTGT